GTTTGGTCGCGCCAAGCCGCGTGTTTGCGGTTTTGCTGTCGGCGCTCCGAAGTAGACTCTGCGCACACTGTATATCCACACATATCCACAAACCCCCTAGCCGTGTGTCCTGACGACAGCTCTCTCGAGTACTGTGCGAGAGAGCGAGCGGACGAGAACGATCGATATAACGATAGATGTTCTGACAGCTCGAGCTTATCGACGAATCGCGTGCCGCGCACCGCTCCTGTGTGATTTGTGGGGATAAAAACGCGCGGGATCGCTCGGTGTCAGAGAGTTTTCGACTGTGAGAAAAAAGACCGTCGAAGTCAGTGAGTTTCGACGGTCGAGCGATGAAAAAAAAATCGATGATTATTTTGCGAAAAAAGCCCTTCGTACGAGGAACTCGCGTGGGGGAGGAACTTTCAAGATATAGCGCAAAAATTTCGATAGTCGCATTTTTTTTTTTTTTTTTTTTTTTTAATTTGCGTCGTCAGAAAATATGAAATCTTTATTCGAGAGCGCGGTTCGAGAGCGAGTTTGCAGAGACGGAAGAACACTCGACAGAGTGAAAATAATAGTCGGGCGAAGATGTCGATAGACAATATGTCGACATTTTCGACACGCTTAATTCCATTATCCTCGTTATCCCCAAAAGCGCGGTCAAGCATAACATAATCTAACATCTTAATAATACAACCGGTACGAACTACCTTCCAGTTCATTACCCATTCCTGTCTAAGGGTGAGAGCGAATCGAGGATAACGAACCTCTTGGAGCTCCCATCGACGATGACGCGTTGCACGCCGAGGATCAATTGAAGAATCGTTCGGGCTAATTAATTGGAGAATAATCTGAGGAGAGTTTAATACATAGACATACTTTCGTCTACATGACGATGACTCTTGTCGACAGGGAGAGACGACGCGAAGTCAAGTGAAAAGGGGAAGAGGACATGCGCGAGGGGAGAGTACTCTCTCGTTGCACGAATGCCGTGAGTAAAGTGGATGCAAATCCGCAATATTAAGAATATTAATAGGACAAATCTGTCAACTTCAACTCGAATGTTTGTTACACTATTAGATAGAAATTTCTTCAAAATATACAAACGAAGAAAACCAATATCGCAAAGATTCCATTTTTGTGATGTTTAAACTGCGACAAAAAAATATCTTCGTTATTATTATTTAACATTACAGTTTAATTTGCGCGCGCGAAAGCTAAGAGTTGATACGAGGTGATCTTTGTGATAGGGAATTTCCGACGACGGACGAAAAAAATTGCCTGTTTGTGCCGGCCAGGAATCGAAATGTATTTTCTTATCAGGCATCTCTTCCTCGTCCGATTTCCACCGAGAAATACCGATCGTCGAAGCCAATATCCTTGCGTTTCACCGCGATTCGGGAAACCGCGACCCGCATCGCGGAATAATATCGGTAAATCGAGAAATTCTCCGTTAAGATACGAGAGCCGATGTACATGTATACACGGGCAAGCGACCAAAGAACAATAACGCCGAGGAGAATTTTTACTTCCGGCCGGATACCACTCCGGTTACGGTTGAATTTACATTTTCGTTGGTTGCGCATCGAATCATGTGTTTCTTTTTTTTTTTTTTTCGCGGCATTCGCGAACAACACGCGGTCTCGCGATTTGGTTGTACTGAAGCGTGAAAAACCAGCGGCCGTATGTGTGCATAACCACACGTGTGTACACGCGCGCGCGCGCGCATTACCGTCTATGAAATTCCAAATAAACCTCGCCGCTAGAATTCCGATAAAATACGTACGAGAAAAACAGCGCCATTCTCTACAGTTATAATATTAAGATACGCGAGTAGTAGTCCGCGTGTGTGTTTTATTTCTACGTATAATAATAACAATCGTGAGTTTTTCGAACGAGAAAAAGAGGAAGATGGAGAAGAGACGAAAGTATACAATTCTAATTACGTTAGAGTTACTTTTCAGTCATCTTTTCACAATGTTTTCTTTTACTACGTTGCAACATTTAAAAACATATTTTCTCTAATTATACAGACAGGAAGAAAATAATAAAGCAAATAAATAGATTTATATATATAATAAATCCATATATATATATATATATAGAAATGGTGTTAAATTTTTTTACATTGCGTACAGTTTCGTCTAAAAGATATAAAAGATGATATGCGTGTGTATGTGTGTGTATATATATATGTCGACACACGTGACGTGAAACGCGAAAAAGGTCGGAATTTTAATATCTTGACTTGGCGGCGAATAAGGTAGAGAAAGAACGAAAGAGATTGTTCTTGGTCGCGCTGTATCTTCATTCGCAAGAACAAAATGATTGATCTCTACATCGAGCAAAAAGAAGTTATAAAAAAAAAAAAAAAAAAATCTCGCTGCAGAGCATCGATGAGAATTAAATATCGCGAATTTTTTTCTTCGATAATACGCTAGAATTCGCCTCGATGGGGCAATCCAGAAGACCAGAAAAATGTAGAAATACGTTAAACGCGATAAAATTTTTTCGCGCGTAAATGTACCCGTTAACGACGTCAAGCGCAACTTCAGAGAGATTGCGAAATAATTCGGATTCCCCGGCAATGAATGCAAAATTATATCAAACGAAGTTCAAAGTGATATAAAATATCCACCTTGTTCCGCATCCTGCGCTATCCAGAGATAAAAAAAAAAAATCTTTGCGATTTACACGCGGTGCACGTATTTAGAATGAAATTAGAACTTTTATTCATCTCACGAAAAATTTGCAGAATTAATGTAAAATTAAATTCCTTTCTTTGTGTATTACATCCCGCTACTGAATTTCTCTCTTCGTCTCTCTCTCTCTCTCTCTCTCGTTTGTGCTGTCTGTCTAATCGATTGTTTTTTGCGATTGCTGTAATATCTGTTGTAAAACTGCGCGTGTGTGTCGCTGTATATACATAATCAATCAAATCACTCGTCCCAATCAATCGAAAAGTAAATGCGTTTGCAAAATTAAAATTCTGATTACTATTAGTAGGCAATATACGTCGCACAATTACCTACTTGCAATTCGATACTCGTGTAAACCTCGTGGATGAGCGGTAAGTGGCGAATAGAATGATCGTGGGGTAATAACGCTGATCTCGGTGAGAAAGCACGAGGGGTAGTTTAAGTGCGTGTTTAGCGGTTGCGATCCCCGTTGGCCTTTCCATGGGACACTAAAGGGCACTAAGGGGCAGTATAAGGATCGTAAGGAGAAGGTGTAGTGGTGAGAAGCAAGCCGTTGCTCGCGCACTCAGACCACAATATAAAATCACTCTGTACAAGACGCCCCCGGCAAAGTATTGTCCGGTTCGATTTTTGGCGTGTTTCGCAACGCGAAACCTCTTCGTAACGGATACGAAAGACGAGATTGATTAAAATATTTGGGATAACGTAAACAATATCTTGAAAAAAAAAAAAAAAACGTCCGTTCTTAATCAGATATTTTTTCTCTTAACAAGCAAAAAGTAATTTCTAACACACGTGTGTAGGTATAATTCTCTGTATCAGAACTTTATGTAAAATTTATCGAGAAAATTACGTTGCGAAATGAGTGACTTGAAAAAAAGAAAAAAAAAACTCGACATAAAAATAAGAGGGGAACCAGACGCATCCAAAGCGCATCGAGTGCGCGCCTCGGCCGGAACGATCGAATTCTTCAATTTGAGTCGCGGAAAACGAGATGACGACTATTCGAGTGGCGCGACGTATAGTGTGGGACGAGCTGGCGCGGATCCAGAAAGTGCCAATTCAATCTTACTTCCCCCCTCCCTTTCCGGATGTAAAATTTCAGGTAGCCGTCGAACTTCCAACTTCCGTCTCTCGTTCTCTAGCTTCGTTGTAGCGTTGTGAGTGTGTTTCTGGTTCGCTCGCGAATGCAAACGACGTTGTAATGACTGAATTTCTGAGTTGGTTAACGACGTGACATTCGTTCGTTCGTTCTTTTGTTTTGCTTTCAGAACGGATGAAAAAAAAAAAATTAGTATATAATTGTTGGAAATTGTGAAGAGATAGAAAGAGAGAATGTGTTATACATTCAATTAAAATGTCTTTTAATAAAGATAATTGGATGTACCACTGATGATGACTTATTCGATCTATTTATTAAGACGAGAAAATATATTAGATATGATGCGCAATATGTGTGCACATATATATATATATATATAAAACTATTTATTAAGACGAGAAAATATACTAGATATGATGCGCAATATGTGATGAACATATATATGTGTATATACATAGTATCATTAATTTATTCCGTGTACGATAGCAGCTGAGTGAGACGAAAGTGCATCAGATGAGAAAATTATTCAAGACCTCCCGAAGATATGTATTCCTCTTTGCCTTCGATTTTTCTTTACCATCCCACGCTTCGAATTTAATGAGGTCCTTTATTGATGAAATGGCATTTATCAAAGTATTTCCGGTATCATAGCCGCGACCACGTGATCCGACGATATCACGTACTCATAATTTTCTTAACGTAGTTTTCCAGCGAAAATTGAGTTTAGAATATCGTAAAACGGTGAGTAAACGAAGTATCGTCTCAGTTTTTAAAATTTTAATTAAAAATCGAGGGAAAATATATATATATATATATATATATATCTCTCTCTCTTTTTTTATATGTACATTTATAAATATATATATGTTTAATATTTCTCAGAAACTAATGCAATATATCTGCTTGCGTTGTAATAAAATCTAATTAAATCTTTAATATTTTCGATATTAAGACAGTTTGCGCTACACGCCGCGCACATATTCCTGATTTATTAACTTTTCGTAAAAATGTCTAGTAAAATACTCTTTATCTCGCAACTAATGTAATATATATGTTACATCGAGATATAGAATTATAATTAAAGTGATAAAAAAACAACGAATGTCTTTTGAATGTAAAATTTTAAATGTATAAAATGGAAAATTCGTAATATTATAGTTTTGTAATATAACAATGTGTGTGTAATAAACGAATTAGTTTGTCATTAGTGAGCATACCTTGAATGATCCGAGATTGTTGACGCTGCACGCCAACTTGACATTTCGTCCTGCCGGTACTGTAATATTTCCTATTTCGTCGATGAATTCAGGATCAGGCATAACTGAAACAACAAAATTATAAGAAAATGTAGTTTAACGTAAGTATTAGTATTAAAAAAAAAAAAAAATTTACATGTATATACCTACTATATGTACACACACGTGTATTATATACCACATTTCTCACATTATCATACTATTTCTATGCACATAATAATTACCCAAACGCTATGTGCATATTTAATTACAATCAACTGTCATAAAAATGATAATTGCATTTTATATATACACATGTGTATACCAATATCTCCGATATCTACTACTGTGCCTCACGTTGTATCTCGCGTATTGCCGTACACGTCAAACGTTAATTACATCGCAATTACGAAACAAAATACATAGTGTTACAATGTGCGGCGCATCTTGTTGTCGAATTCGCTTGACGAATATGAGACAGTTTCGGGATCTGTCAGATGTCGTCGTGTTTGGAAGACAGGGGGCGAACTCGATCGACAAAATTCGATACAAAGTTCGACAGCGAAATTTTTTGAAATCACAACGTCAGTTGAGTTTCCACGAATGTGAGGGAACATCCGCCTTCGTCTCCCGCGCACGTTGCTTACTTCGTGGGAAAGGGGGATCGATCGATCTAAGGGGGCGGTGGCGGATACGCGTGGCTGCGTGGATGCGCTTTGAGTTATAGAAGCTCACCAGTCGACGTGACAGCTTAGTTATTGAATACAAAATGCAATTTTTCAAGTCTGTACCGTCTCTACCCGCGGTATCCCCGACCACACCGTCTTGAGCAAGAGAGAGAGAAAGAGAGAGAGAAAGAGAGAGGAGGTTCTTCGCGTGTGTGCTGATCGAATCTACGAGAGGATTTCTAGATGCTTATGGAGATCGAGCGCTCTCTCCCATCTGTTCCGACGCTCGCGATTGCATTTCTTTCGAGCGTAATGTTATTTCATGCGTGAGGCTTGCTCGCGTTCGCGCGAAAGTGCAGGACACGAATTCGTAATGGGGCGCATGTCTCGCGAAAATCTATTTGCCACAGGACGTCACTTCGTATCCATTTATTTCGTACAATTTTGCTATAATAAATTACAATGGTAGAGAAGTTGGTGGCGCAATAATAAATTTCATTTTCGTTACTCGTTTACAGTTATATATATATATATATATATATAATTCTATTGGTATATTTCTCATACATACAGACTCTCTTGTATTATAATGCAAACAAAAGAAGCGAAGAGAATACGCAATCTGCTGCGAGCGATCTGTCATCAATTTAATGAATCGTTTTTTTTTTTTTTTTTTTTTTTCCCCACATAAACGCATGCGAAAGACATCTAACGTGAGTGTGACGCAACTTACGATTATGCGTATATACACGTCGGATAAGTTTCAAAGCCGAATCAAGTCCAAGTGACTCTCGCTCGCGAAGTAACTAAGGTGCTAGAAAATTCTCTTTGGGTTCCACTTTGCTATCTATGAGATCAAAGCAGCGCCCGGCCGTGGTACGTGGCAGCGTACGTGTGGTTGGACAGTTCTCTGCTACAGTGTTCAGACTCTACATTTCAAATTCGTCGTGTTTTTCTACCCGCGCGTCGTCTGCAATTGCACACACCAGAATAGAGTTCCCTTCCCCTTCCGGACGGAAACGAGAAATCTTTAAAATCAGAAGAATGTCTGTGTATTTTTATACAGTGACGAAATAATAAAGCGAAACGCGTACGTAAGTACGTGAACATTTTTCAAGACGAGTTCTACGTCTCGTCATTTGAAATGAACTCAGAACGCGGTAACGAGCGAAAACAAATATGAGCTAATTGCGACGAGAAACCCTGTTTGTTGCGTCTCTCAAAACGGGAGGGAAAATGTAGATTAAGAGACTCGAACTCGAGAGATCGGTAACTTCCGTATTATTTGTGGAAACTTGATCCTCGGCGTGTAATGAAACGGAGTCTCGCGCTCGGTCAACGAACACGCGAGAGAGAAACTTACGGTGTCGTACAAAAGCGTGCTCGTACGCGACGCGCGCGCGCGCGCGCGCACACACACACACACATACGTGCACGCGCTCACGAATGCCGCCGGATGGTTTTCATGTGCGCGGAGGTGATTAAAGAGCGGGAGATCTCTTCATTACGGGTCGAGTGCCCGCGCGAATTTTAATTAATATCCGCGACAAGTCTCCAGTCACGTGTGTTGCCACGTTCAGCATCGTAGCGCCAATTCTAAGAAATTCGGTGTGTGCCGATCGCTTTGATCTATTAATTACGTAACCTAACGTTAGAATCTCTTTGACGTGATTTTTTTTTTTTTTTTTTTTTTTTTAATCTTTTTCTATCTCGGTAAAATACTGGAAATATGTGTGGCAACGCGAAGAGGTAAAAGAAGAGACGCGTTTTCTTTCTGGCAAATCTCTCTCTCACTGAAATTGTCTCTGTTCCCGCTGATAAAATCGATGTTAAATCAGCGGTTTATACAATTCGGATAATATCTAGCTAAGTGCGAGCAATGGACCGAGAGTAAATCTTAAAGACAGCACTTATCCCGAGAGAGTGACGACTTGTGTGAGAGAGCGCGCTCTCTCTCGTGAAAGGTCTCTGTCTTACACTATCACTTACACAACGACTTTGCTTTGAGCAAAAGGGGTGTCTTCTCTCGTGAAGAAGTGCCAGGAACAACAGTTTATGTCAATTTTCCGCTTCATGTAATACCGCGTTGTTCGCGAAAAAGCATCCGGCATAGCTTGCCGCAACGGTGCGGGAGCACACCGTCGTGAAAATATTGCCGTTATAAAAGCGAAAGACGATACGTAATTTAGTACGAAGAATGATCCTCGCGCGCGGTGTCGCGCGTTGACGTCGCGAAACCACCGAAAACTTTGCTCACCTTCGTCATGTTACGTTGCACCAAGCATTTTTTTTTATCATTTACACGCAGTACGGTACTTGGGAACGACGAAGACGAATCGCAACACTTTTGCGAGTCGATTCACGAACCGAGATATTACCGATAAAGGAAATTTATTTTTAGAGAGTATCCGCGAGACGAGATCTCCGGAAAAAGAGAAAATCCGAAAGCGCATTGTTGACGAGTTAAATTTCAAGGACAAAAGTTGATTTTCCAAAAGCGATTAAAGATATATCGCCAAGGTGCTTATCATTATCAAGTGAATGCGCTCTCGCGAAGATGAAATCGCGAGAATTGCAACCTCGCGAAGAAAAATCAGCGTTACGTGGCACGGGGGGGATCGAATTGTTTTCAGATAGTAGGATTTTCATTAAATCGAGATCACAATCGCCTCGATTCCGTACGGCGCGCGATGTAAGAAAGAGTCGTCGTCGTCGTCGTCGTCGTCGTCGGACGATTCTTGCACGGGTCTTGAACGTTCATCAGAAATGCATGGGGTTCCCGCGGCCGATTCCGCAACCAGAAAAAGGACTGTTTCCCCTCTTCTGCGGAGGAGACCTTCTCTACGTGGGGCTGTAAAGTCCGAACGAAATCCGAGATAAGACGGTCGAGCGCACACGTGCGCAACTCACACACGAGACGACATCTACGCATCGACCGTTCGTATATACAATTTATACACATATCACCGTCCGCAGACATTCCCGGGGAAACAGAGTTTATCTTGATTTCACGGAAGTATTTCCTGTCGATGCGTTTTACCCGCGCGCGTCGCGCGCTTTCCCGCCTCTTCGTCTTTCTCTCTCTTTCTCTCTCTCTCTCTCTCTCTCTCTCTCTCTCTCTCTCTCTCTCTCCATTCTCCCGTTCTTTTTTCGACTCGACTCTCGAGAAAAACCACGCCCGTGGAATGCACTCTCTTGGCGTGCGAATTGCGCACGTGCGAGATCCAAGATTTTCGTCGACGATCAGATTTTTCAATGCTAATGTCATCTTGACGCACGCGGGCACGAGATGCTGCGATCCATCAATAAATTCTGACTCTGGCTTTTCTCTCGAGTAATAGATTTCTTTGTCAAAGAAGTGAGGAACACGAGATGCCACGTCAAAAATCCGATTGTCCGCGCGCAACAAACTAACTCTCTTGTTACGGACCAAATAATTACAAAAGTGTATCAGAATTTGAAAATTATTCGGATCTTTGACGAATCCGAAATTCGAATCGTCAAGCGACGATTCGCTCTTTCGAACGTTATTATAAAGCGAACACGTACGTAAGGAAGGAAAGCGCAAAACTGCTGATATATCATCGATCAATCGAATCGGAAACAGCGGAGTTTAACGGTACACATCGTTTCCAGCGTAGAAGAGATGGTCTGACAAATGACAGCAGTCTGTCTATCCCGGGACCAATGAGTCGTCCTTATCAGCCGTCTTACCGCGCCGCAGCCTCTCGATTTTTCCTTTACAAAAAGCGAAAAAAAAGCGAATGCCGGAGCTCACACCTATCTATCGATATCACTTCTTCGTCCATGGTGGTAGACTGATGATGGAAAAACAAGAAACGAGGGCAGATAAACCTTTTCTTTTCGCGCCCGACATCATCGGCTACAAAGATTAAGTGGTCTTAATAGAGAAATATCCTAGATTAGCGCCGCGCGCCAGTAGACGATGACCGCGCGATCGCAATTATCTCGCGCCACGCCGTTGCTGCAAAAAAAGCCTCCAACCCCAGGCTCCGCTTCGTTACCCCCTATTAATGCGGATTATCTTCCGTTTCGCGATCACATTGATCAACGTAAAAACGCGAGGATAGGACAAATGTTTCCCGTTTTTTTTATTGCGCGCCGCTCGTCGGTTTTTCATCGCGACGCGCGACGTTCGTCGTTTCGCGCTTTCTCCTCTCTCATGTGTGTTGTACAACGGTATCTTTCCCTCTGTATATTTTTCTATACTTTGATTTCACGAGCGAGAAGGATTACAAAGACCAAGATAAATCAAATTTTCGTTTCAATTTTTGCACATACACACACACACGCACACGTTACGTGAGACATGAAGGATCAACGTGTTATATCGAGACACAGAGAGAGATTACTTTTACATAAAATATATATCAGATTTAGCGCGCGCTGACATGTAC